CCATTTTGAGTTTATTTTTGTGTATGGTGTAAGTTGGTGATCTAGTTTCATGTTTTTTGCATGTATCTGACCAAATTTCCCAGCACCATTCATTGAAGAGACTGTCTTGACTCCACTGTATGCTCTTGCATCCTTTGTCAAATATTAATTGAGCATAATGGCTTGGGTTGATTTCTGGGTTCTCTGTTCTGTTCCAATGGTCTATATGTCTGTTCTTGTACCAGTACCAGGCAATTTTGAGAACAGTGGCTTTGTAATATAGCTTCATATCTAGTATTGTGACCCCTCCAACTTTGTTCTTCTTTCTCAGAATTGCTGCAGCTATTTGGGGTCTTTTTTTTTTTTATTCCATGTAAATTTCTGGAGAGTTTGTTCTAGGTCTGTGAAATATGTTGTTGGTATTTTAATAGGGGTTGTATGGCTTTGGGTAGTATGAACATTTTAAAGATGTTGATTTTAATGATGTTGAATTCATGAACAGTGTATATTCTTCCACTTGATTTTAGAGAAAGAGGCAGGGAGAGGGAGATAAAGAGAAGGAAACAATCAGTTGCCTCTTGCACGCACCCGGACCAGGACCCAAACTGCAACCTGGGCATGTGCCCTAACCTGGAACCAACCAGTCACCTTTAGGTGCACAGGGCGATCCTCAACCAACTGAGCCACACCGGCCAGGGCTGAACTCTATTTCCTGTCGTTGCTGATTAAAACTAGAGGCTCGATCAGATTCCATGAACAGATTTTAAAACTTAGAGCACTACAAAAATGTTCTACGCCATTTAATATTCTTCTACAACATGTTTTCTTAATGACTATAGAGCTGTCAAACACAGGAATGTATTCTTACCTATTTAGCGAGTCCCTTACTGTTCTCTTAGTTCCTGCGGATGGTGGATGCCTGCGCCAGCTTCCTCACCGAAGCCTTGAACCCAGAGAACTGCGTTGGGATCCTGAGGCTGGCGGACACGCACTCCCTGGACAGTCTAAAGAAGCAGGTTCAAAGTTACATCATCCAAAACTTCGTGCAGATTCTGAACGCCGAGGAGTTCCTTGAGCTCCCCGTGGACACTCTGTACCACATCTTGAAGAGCGATGACCTTTATGTGACGGAGGAGGCTCAGGTGTTTGAGACGGTGATGAGCTGGGTCCGGCACAAGCAGTCGGAGCGGCTCTGCTTGCTCCCCTACATCCTGGAGTACGTGCGCCTGCCGCTTCTGGACCCGTGGTACTTTGTGGAGACGGTGGAGGCAGATCCTCTCATCAGGCAGTGCCCGGAGGTCTTCCCGCTGCTCCAGGAAGCCAGGATGTACCACCTTTCTGGCAATGAGGTGAGATGAGAGGTGCTGCTGTGAACTAGCAAAGTAAAGGAGTTAGTGGGCCTCATAGAGATCAGGCGAGGCTGGCTGGCAGCTCCTTGTTCTAAGGCTTACAGCAAGGAGAAGATGCTACACTGATGATAGTTTGAGTCAGGCAGTTCCAGAAGCCCTGGGTCTCTGATCTGTAAAATGGGGATGATAATGCCTCATGGGCAGCTTCTGAGAGGATAAGGTGAGATACAGAAATCACCCAGCACCAAGCCTGGCACAGCCCTTCTCTTCCCAGCTGTGAAAGGCGGGAGGGTAGTGGGAGTGACACGCACATGGACAGAATGTGCCCTGTCCAGTCGCCATTCCACCGGGTGCTGCTTTCTGCCTGCCCACTCTGGGGAACCTGATGTTCCCTTAGTTCAGACTCTCAGTTCCATTGGTCTATATGTCTGTTCTTGTGCCAATACCACACAGTTTTGAGAACAGTGGCTTTGTAATATAGCTTCATATCTAGTATTGTGACCCCTCCAACTTTGTTCTTCTTTCTCAGAATTGCTGCAGCTATTTCAGGTCTTTTTTTTTTATTCCATGTAAATTTCTGGAGAGTTTGTTCTAGGTCTGTGAAATATGTTGTTGGTATTTTAATAGGGATTGTATCGCTTTGGGTAGTATGAACATTTTAAAGATGTTGATTTTAATGATGTTGAATTCATGAACACTGTATATTCTTCCACTTGATTTTAGAGAAAGAGGAAGGGAGAGGGAGGTAGAGAGAAGGAAACATTAATCAGTTGCCTCTTGCACTCACCCGGACCAGGACCCAAACTGCAACCCGGGCATGTGCCCTAACCTGGAACCAACCAGTCACCTTTAGGTGCACAGGGCGATCCTCAACCAACTGAGCCACACCGGCCAGGGCTGAACTCTATTTCCTGTCGTTGCTGATTAAAACTAGAGGCTCGATCAGATTCCATGAACAGATTTTAAAACTTAGAGCACTACAAAAATGTTCTACGCCATTTAATATTCTTCTACAACATGTTTTCTTAATGACTATAGAGCTGTCAAACACAGGAATGTATTCTTACCTATTTAGCGAGTCCCTTATTGTTCTCTTAGTTCCTGCGGATGGTGGATGCCTGCGCCAGCTTCCTCACCGAAGCCTTGAACCCAGAGAACTGCGTTGGGATCCTGAGGCTGGCGGACACGCACTCCCTGGACAGTCTAAAGAAGCAGGTTCAAAGTTACATCATCCAAAACTTCGTGCAGATTCTGAACGCCGAGGAGTTCCTTGAGCTCCCCGTGGACACTCTGTACCACATCTTGAAGAGCGATGACCTTTATGTGACGGAGGAGGCTCAGGTGTTTGAGACGGTGATGAGCTGGGTCCGGCACAAGCAGTCGGAGCGGCTCTGCTTGCTCCCCTACATCCTGGAGTACGTGCGCCTGCCGCTTCTGGACCCGTGGTACTTTGTGGAGACGGTGGAGGCAGATCCTCTCATCAGGCAGTGCCCGGAGGTCTTCCCGCTGCTCCAGGAAGCCAGGATGTACCACCTTTCTGGCAATGAGGTGAGATGAGAGGTGCTGCTGTGAACTAGCAAAGTAAAGGAGTTAGCGGGCCTCATAGAGATCAGGCGAGGCTGGCTGGCAGCTCCTTGTTCTAAGGCTTAGAGCAAGGAGAAGATGCTACACTGATGATAGTTTGAGTCAGGCAGTTCCAGAAGCCCTGGGTCTCTGATCTGTAAAATGGGGATGATAATGCCTCATGGGCAGCTTCTGAGAGGATAAGGTGAGATACAGAAATCACCCAGCACCAAGCCTGGCACAGCCCTTCTCTTCCCAGCTGTGGAAGGCGGGAGGGTAGTGGGGGTGACACACACATGGACAGAATGTGCCCTGTCCAGTCGCCATTCCACCGGGTGCTGCTTTCTGCCTGCCCACTCTGGGGAACCTGATGTTCCCTTAGTTCAGACTCTCATTATTTCCTTCCCGAATTTCTGAAAGTTCCTCAAAACTCACCTTCCTGCTCCAGTTTGGCCTCTCTCCAGTTCATTCATCAGCCGGATGATCTGAAACTTGAGCCTAATCATTTCTCTCTTAGGCTTACCCTCTTCACTGGTTCCTCGCCCCTTTCGGGATAAAGCCCACACTTCCTGCCCGAGCTCTCAGAGCCTGGCCCTGTACCCTTCACCTCCTGCCTGTTTCTCTAGTGCCATCTCCAGCCCCTTTCTTCTGCTACAGCCCAGAGACAAAGCTTCTAATTCCTCAAAGCGGACCTGCTTTTTCTGCCTCCAGCTAATGCAGGTGCTGTTCAGATGCCTTTTCCCTCTTCTTCATCTAGTCAACTTCGGCTCCTGCTTCAAAATTCGGTTCAAGCATCATCTTCTCCAGAGGTTTCGCTCATTCTCAGCCCCTGATGCATTGCAGTATTTTAACACTGACTGTTACATGTTAACCACTGAGTTCCTCATCTGTAAATATCTCTAGATTGGGAGCTTGTTATGGCAGAAAGGATGTTGTATTGGAATTTTCATCTCCAGACTTTAGGAGACTCCCTGGTATAGAGTAAGTGATTGATAAAGGTTTGTTGAATGAATAAACGGAGACCAGGTTGGTGAATGTGCATATCATTTGAATTTACCTGGTTCTCCTTAACAATTGAAGACATATTTTATTCATTACTGTATAAAGATAAGACTAGGTTTAGTGGAGGTGGATAAGCAGTCAGGATGTAATGAAATAGGGACTGTTAAGTTTATATACATGAAATCCACACATATATCCCACTATACAATACGTCTGGGTTTGGCTACCACGCCTTCTTCATTAGGCTATTGGTAGATTTCTGAGTAAAGAGTGGCTTAGGAATGATCTGCGTGAAGCCCCCAGGAGCCTCCTCCTTTCCCCAGGTGTCTTTTCTAGTTCTGTGTTGTCCTCAGGTTCATTGTCACTCATTCACTCTGCAAATATATCTTTCAATGTTTGGTAGTTTTACCAGTGATGATATTAGAACCAGGAGGTGTGTGTGTGTGTGTGTGTGTGTGTGTGTGTGTGTGTGTGTGGTTTTTAATTATAAATTGTATTTCTTTAATAGGTATAGGACTATTCAGGTTATCTATTTCTTCTAGAATGAGCTTTAATAGTTTGTATTTTTCAAAGGACTTTTCCATTTCATAGAAGTTACTGAATATGTTGGTTTAATGTTGTTCACAATATTCCCTTATTATCTGTAGAATCTGTAGTGATGTCACTCACATCTTCCATTCCAGATAGTGGTGATTTGTGTCTCCTCTTTTTATCTGATCAGTTTGGCTCAAGGTTTGTCAGTTGTATTGATTTTCTCAAAGAACAAGCTTCTGGTTTAATTTAATTTTCCTCTATTGCTTTTATGTTTTCTATTTAACTTATTTCTAATCTAATCTTGATTATTTTATGTCTTCTGCTTCCTTTGGGTTTAATTTTCTCCTTTTTTTTAGTTTCTTAAGGTAGAATTGGAGGTCATTGATTTGAGACCTTTCCCCCCTAATATTGTCATTAGTACTATAAATTTCCCCCTAAGTACTACTTTAACATCATTCCATATATTTTAATATGCTATGCCTTCATTTTTTACAAATAAATCCTGAACAGTAACAATATGCCAGAAATGACACCAGGCACTATAATAAAAATCTCTGCCTTGCTAAATGTCTGTCTGTCAGAGAATAGAGGACAGTAAGCAAATAAAGGTGGTGAGTAGACTGATGGAGGGAGTGTAGGCAATCACATGGGTCATATCCCGTGCTGGTATGTGGGTCGCTGGCAGGTGGCTCAGCACTGGGAATCAAAACCCTCATACACTTGGACAAGTGTCCGTTTCTGAAGCTGTATTCAGTGAAGCATTTGAAGTTCAGAGTCTTGATCAACTGGACTTCCAAAATTCTGGTTATTTCTGTTCCTGCTTCCCATTTGTTTAGTCTCTGAAATGCAGGCGATGAAGGTATTCCTTTGATATAAAATATCTCTACTATGTCTTCTGCAAAATTGCTGCTATAAAACATCTGCTCTGCCTTTTGTATTTGAAATGGTGTGGGGGGTGGGAGCATAAACTTTGGATTTAGGAGGAGAGGAAATTCTGGAAAAGTCTCCAGTGGCAGAAATTTGGGCTTGCAGTCAGGAGAATCTTGGCTTTAGCTTTGCACAATTTACCTACAGGGTGACCTTGGGCTACTTAGCTGCTCTAAAGCTCAGATCCAACCTGTAACATGGAGATAATAATGCCTACCAGCTGCTAGAACTGTTTTGAGATATAATCAGATAATGAATGAGATGTGCTTAGCACAGTGTCTGGCACATGGTAAGTGCCCCACAAATGAAGACTGTTCTTATTCTCACTCAGTTTGTTTATGGTGCTCTATCTCCCACAATCAGGCATTTTCTTTGTCTTAGGCTAAAATCTCTCTTTTCACCATCCTAGGTTTTTGCTGCCTTTATTACCCCCAATCCAGCTCAAAGCACTTTCTCATTTCCATTGCAGGCTGGGTAACTAAACCAACCCACCACTGTGATCCCTGGCTTGAGGTCTCATAGCCAGTTGATTCCCTGAAACTCCCTGTCTGCTCACTACTTGAATGATCTTGCGTTTGTTCCTGGTGACAGTAGTGTAAGCGTGAAGGCTACTCCTGGAACTCACTTCACCTTCCTTTCCCAAACTTTAACCCTTCTTGTCCTATCTTTATGTCTCCTTCTTAATCTTGCCCCTCCTCCAAGTTCATGAAGGTGATGACAGTGGGACATTTTAAAACCCTAAAAGCAAATGTCCATCTGTGTTTAGCTTAGAAATGGTAGCTGGTACCTTCATTGGGAGAGGTCTTTTGGGACAGAAAAGTTGCCCCTCTGTTTCACTTCCTCCTAAACTTCCTGGGACCACCTTGATCTATACCAAGGTCTGATGGCATAGAAGTGATGACAGGCATTTAGAGATTGTGTTGCTTCTCCATGGTCACAAGGCCATAGGTGGTGGGGACCACCTTGATCTATACCAAGGTCTGATGGCATAGACGTGATGACAGGCATTTACAGAGATTGTGTTGCTTCCCCATGGTCACTAGGCCATAGGCGGTGCAACCAAACTCTGGTGTATTTGACTGCAGACGCCTGCTCTTTCCGCTGGGTTCAAATATCCATGGTGTGGCTCTCTTTCAAATCTCCATGGTGTGGTTCAAGGCTCTGAAGGGTCATATGCTTGAGGTTAAGACTGAGTCCCCCAACCTGCCTGGCCATCCTCTGCTCCCCCTGACAGGACCTCTCTTTCAGAAGAAGTGTGGTAGTGAACAAAAGTCTGGGATGTAGCCGAAACCGGTTTGGCTCAGTGGAGAGAGCATCGGCCTGCGGACTGAGGGGTCCCAGGTTCGATTCCGGTCAAGGGCATGTACCTGGGTTGCAGGCACATCCCCAGTGGGAGATGTGCAGGAGGCGGCTGATCGATGTTTCTGACTCTCTATCTCTCTCCCTTCCTCTCTGTAAAAAAATCAATAAAATATATTTAAAAAAAAAGTCTGGGATGTCATCAAGATATTGGAACAAGGCAGGAGTGGAAGGTGGCCAGAAATGGAATTCTAGGATTCAAGGCTTCATATCAGGCAGGAAGGGAGAAGCAAGAAGTGCATTTGATGGTAAACAGACCTGGAGTTCTTAAAATGGCAGCAAAAGCAATAACAGATAACCTTTACTGAGTACCTATTATATACCAGGCTCTGGGCCAAACACACTATGTACATGATCTCAATGAATCCTCACAGCAAACCTGTGAGGTAGTTACCACTATAATCTCTAATATACAGATGATGAAACTGAGGCTCAGGGAGGTGCTGCCACCTGGTCACACAATGGCGGAGTTGGGAACTGGGCCCTGCTCTGCTGGCTCCATAACCCGAGCTCTGACACCCTGTGTCATCCTGTACTCTCATTGGTTTTCCAGATAATATCAGAGCGCACCAAGCCCAGGATGCATGAGTTCCAGTCTGAGGTGTTTATGATCATCGGTGGCTGCACGAAGGATGAACGGTTTGTGGCGGAGGTAACCTGCCTGGACCCCCTGAGGCGCAGCCGCCTGGAGGTGGCCAAGCTCCCGATGACGGAGCATGAGCTGGAGAGTGAGAATAAGAAGTGGGTGGAGTTTGCATGCGTGACATTAAAAAATGAGGTCTACATCTCAGGTAAGCAGGAGCCACGTGATGCCAAAGCAAGTCCTCATCGGCACTACATATTTTCCTGAGTGAGGGCAGGCAGCCATCCTAGAAGAATTATTGTAAATGGCAACGATCTAGCTCTGACTGGGTCGGGATATGGAAACCAGAAGCTCAGGTGGTCTTACCTTGGAAAGCACATTTTTACTTGATGAACACTAGCCTGGGAGCAATATTGTGCTGGGATCTGGGGAGCAGGAAGAGAAACAGGAAAGTGATACTAGAATTTATTCGGTGTCTGCTATAGGCTTGGCACTGGGAATACAGTAATGAATAAAAATGTCTGTTCTTCTCTAAGACTTGATCCTTCAAGTTTATTAGGTCCTACTTTTAGACACTCCCAAAGCATCCAGTATTTTTTTTCATTTCTTACTTCTAAGTAGTTTGATCAATTATTTACAATGATTTATGCCTATCAACCATTAGTCCTTAAATTATCTGACAGTCAGCACTATTCCCAACACCTAGCACTGTGCCTGGCCACCATAGCAAATGCTCAATCAATATTTATTGAAAGACATGTTTTCTACCATCTTTGCAGCATAGTAGATGAATTTATAATTTGGTAGCATTTAAACATATGCCTCTCACCTCAACTCTGTAAGATAGGTGACTTAAATCTCCAGGTTACAGACGGAGAAAACGGAAGCTCAGAAAGGTTATGGAATGCACCGAAGGCCACACACTGGTAGCTGTCAGGCAGGATTCCAGCCCAGGTTCTCTGAGCCCCATGCTTTCCCCATGACATCAAACGCGACCCAGCTCTTCTTGGGGCCCCAAGGGAGGAGACACGTATCCCTTCTCTTCTCTAGAAGGTGTTCTCTAACCTGTACTTACTTGGGGAAAAGCTGCTTCCCAGAGCTGGCTTCCTCCAAAATCAAGGTCAGGTCAGTTCTTCTATGGATATATTAATATCATAGATGAGGCTATAGCTTTCTTTTATCTTGTAGAAATAGGTTTTAATTGTTGTAGGAGATTCAAATAATATAGAGTATGAAGTAAAATATGTCAGTTTCTCTGTGTCATTACAATCCTATATTTTAAATTAAAAATAGTTTTGTATTGCTTTAGAGTAAATAATGCCAGCTTCAGTAACTCATTCTAAATCTCAGTGAATTACCCTAACAGTATATGGGGTTGCTCTGCTCAGTCACTCAGGGACCTAGGCTCCTTCCATCTTGTGGTGCTGCTGTTTTCTATGTGTGGTCTTCATTTCGAGAGGAGAGAGAAAATGAATGAGTTGAGTGTGAACGAGTTGAGAACAGCCTTAGTCTGGATTCACAATTCTACTCACAGTCTATTGGCAAGAATGAGCCACATGCCCTCCCCGCCCCTCCCCCCACCCTCTGCAGGTGGGCTGGGAAATATAGTTTAACTGTGTGTCCAGGAGGAAAAGACGGGGTTTGTAATTATAGTCAGTCTTTGCCACATCCACTGCATGTTATTCTACAACGTGTCCTTCTCTTCTCTTAAATGTGTCGTTGTCTTTTTAAAAAAACGATACAAGCAATACATGAAAGCATGCTTGTTAAACACAATAAAATCAACAGAAATTTGCACTTCAATTCACAATACATTTTCCACCTCATTGCAGTTGGTGTAATGGATCTATCATATGTTTTAAGTGATATCATACATGTAAAGTACAGCACAATCCCAAGCACACGGTGAGAGCTCAACAGTGTTAGCCATCATTAGCGTCATTTCATTATCATTATCCTTTTACCAGCTGCAGGACAGTTTATTGAATAAATGAACCATGACTGTTTTTCAGCTTTTATTTTTCTACTAAAAAAATACTGCACATATGTTTATGAACTTGTGCTGCTATTTGGAGAGATTCCTAGAAGTGGTCATAAGATGTGAGAAGTTAGAATTCTTGTAGATATTGCTAAATTGTCCTCCAGAAAGTTTGTACTAGTTTATAGTTCAACCAACGATGAATAACAGTGCCATTTTCAACATCCATTTTATGTTATTTTTTATTATCAGTCAATTACACTTTTAATAGTCTAGAATGCTTAAATTTACCATTTACACTTGGGTCATTAATGAGGTCGAGTATATTTCTGTATATTTAATAGCTAACTGTAAATTAGCTATTTGTTTTTCTATTGGTGGTTTGTCTTTTTTTTTTTAATTAAGTTTTTGGAGTTCTTATCATATACCTTTTGCTATTTGTATTGCAAGTACTTTCTCCAAGGCCGTGTTGTCTTCTAACATTGATTTAGATTTTATATAGTAACTTTCTTATATGATTCTGGGTTTCAAATCTTGCTTAGAAAGTCCCTCCCTCCTGAAGATCCTTAATATCTTCTATATTTTCTTCAGTTACTTTTAAAGCATTTACATTTGAGGTTTATTTTAAGGGTAATGTGGAATAGGGATCTAGCTTAATTTTTCTCTAAGTAAATGGCCAAGTGTTCTAAGGCCATTTATTGAATGATCTCTACATCCTTTAGTCTGTTCTGTACTCTGGCTGTTATTCATCAGTGTGTGTGGTCTGATGCAGCACCACGTTGTTTGTATAATAGCTGTGTAGTATAGTTTGATATTTGCTGCGGAAAGCCCCTCTTCATTTTTCTTTTTCACAAGTTCCTTAGAAATCTTTCCAAATTTACTCGTCCAAGTGAAATTTAGAATGATCTTTTCAAGTTCCCTGAAAATTCCTGAAGGCGCTGGATAAGTGGGTTTATCTGGAGAAGGCTGATGTCTTCTTATCTATGCACACGATATGCCTGCCCAGTTAATCAGGTCTTCTTTTATGAAGTAAAATTCATAGAGTTCTTTTTCTTTTTAAATAAAATTTGCATGCATTTCTTTGAAAGTTTATAGTTAATTAGTAAGTTTTGACACTACCGACATGGGACCAATATCACAGAGTTTTAAGTAAATAGAGATCTCTAAAAGGCACACAACCAAAAGAAAAACGATTAAATTAAATGAACTAAAAATTCACAGAAGAGGAAAAAGCTCAGTCTTCCTAATAGCCAGGGAAAACCAAACTAGAATTATTTTTCTCTATTAGGCTATAAAACAACAACAAAGAAAACACCCCAAAACAACCCCAAAAACCCCCTCCTTACATCCACTGTGGGTGGGGCATGGGGAAAGGACAACCAGCAGCTTTAGAGGGCTCTTTGGCAGCACCTATAAAGATTCAAGGTATGTACACCCTTGGCCTAGGAAACCCATTGTTGGGCTCCATCCTAGAGAAACGCTTACCCAGGACATGGTGCATCATCAGTGACAGTCATTGCTGTACTAGGGCAGTAGGGCAGGTTAATAAGTCTGAAAAGTATGTATTTTTCGTCAAGTAGTTGAGTTGGCACTCTGTGCTGAGGGGGAATTGGAGATACAAATTTGTTAAAACCTTTGATTAAAGTCACCAAAAAAGACAGTTCTCCTCTGTTTTGTTCTCTCTTCCTAATGAAATTATGTATTTTCTGTTTAATAAGAGAGTTGTTTGGAAAAAATTATTTACCAGCTCACTCTCACATTTTCTATTGGGAGCATCTCATTCTTTTGTAGTAAATATTGTTTAAAAACAGGACAACCCCACTTATATTTTTTTGTACAGTTATAAACCCAGATAATTTTTAAAAATATGTTTTTATTGATTTGTTTAGAGAGAGAGGGAAGGAGAGGGATAGAGAGATAGAAACAGCAATGGATGAGAGAGAAACATTGCAGGTGGGCTGGGAAATGCAGTTTAACTGTGTGTCCAGGAGGCTGCCTCCTGCATGCACCTTACTAGGGATAGAGATTGCAACCCAGGCGTGTGCCCTGACCAGGAATCGAACCAGCGACTTCTTGGTTCATCGGTCAACAGTCAACCACTGAGCCAACCAGCTAGGCAACCCTGGGGATTTTTAAATATTTATTGGTTTGCATTTTTAAAAATAAATAAGCAAACAGAATGTAAGCTGCTTTTTAATTAGCCTGCTGGTCAAGGAAGGCCCTGCAACAGTCCAACCTCACCTGTCCTGCCTTACAGCTTGTTTCTTAGCTTCACAAACACGGAATCCAGGCTCCTGCTATGGGTGGAGGCGGACGTGGTCCTGCCTCCCTGAAGCTCACCTCTTCCCTGAGCTCTCACGGCACAGAGGTGCCACATGACATGTCTGGAGAATTATTCACTCCAGCCTCACACTGTCTCTTTTTGTTCCTCTGTGTTGGTTCTGTCTCCCCAAATAGGTCACACACACCTTCAGGATTTCTTTTCTCTTTTCTTAGGAGGGCTGGCCTGGGGATTCAGCACTTCTGGATCTGTGGGAAATTATGGGAGAAGCTATATTTCTGATACATCTGGTGGTTTCTTAAATGCTTTGCATCTCTTCTAGGTGGCAAAGAAACACAGCATGATGTTTGGAAATATAATTCTTCGATCAACAAATGGATCCAAATAGAGTATTTGAACATAGGTCGCTGGAGGCATAAGATGGTGGTGTTGGGTGGCAAGGTCTATGTGATCGGAGGTTTTGATGGCTTGCAGAGGATCAACAACGTGGAGACCTACGACCCCTTCCACAACTGCTGGTCAGAGGTATCGGAGATTATTTCTATGGGTAACTCTGTTTGTATTATTACTTCAAAGCTTAAAGAAGGGCTTCTGTCAATGTTGGTATATGGCTTTCTGATCTCTCACCTCCCACTGAGAACATTTTTGGTGGCTGTGAGCTTCCCTCCTCATAGGAATCATTGCTTTAGCATTGCTGAGCAGGTCACCACTCTGTGTACACCTGCCCTATCCTGGCCAGAACCCCAGATGTGTGGGGGAGGCTGGATCCTACTCTGGGTGCCTGTTTTGGCCCATAGTCTCCGTGTCCTCAGATGCCATCTACCCTTGTCTTCTCCACACGGGACACCCAAGGATCCCTTTAACACACTGTTTGTTGAATGCAGAGTCATTTGGTAGTGCTTAGAAATCAGCCCTTGTTTATTTGCTTATTAGTGAATCATCTTTTATATACTTGCATGCAAGAGTTTAACAAGTTTCACAATGCAAACTCAGGTATATATCACACTCAGGCAAAGGTAAGACATTGCTAATCAATGGGTGCAAAGATGGATACGCTCTGGAGATCTGCTGTACAACACTGTGCTATAGATAACAATACTTATTGTACACTCAAAAATGTGTTAAGAGGGTAGACCTCGTGTTAAGTGTTCTTACCACAATAATTTTTTTAAAAAAGTCAAGTGATCTCACTTCCTGGTATTTCCAGGTTATTCCCACTTTCGTATTTTCTTTCTCCTTGTCATGTCATATGCCAGAGCATGTTTCAGTTGTGGAGAGTGTAAAGCATGGCATTGTGGGCACAGCACAGGTAGCCAGGTCCTCCTGGCATCCAGACTTGTCAACCTGGAGAGTGCCAAATAGGGAGCCCTTAATGTTTAATGGTGGGAGGGGGGTACTAAGATCTTCTCAGTTCGGTAAGCCCCATTACTTGGCACTTGTGGGTTGCTCCCTGGCCCAAGAGAATCATGTCAATGGGCAAGAAGCTCTTGGAGGACCCCTTTAGTGCCCTGGGGTTCACAGGGTGGAAGCACCAGTCTGGCTTAATCCCCAAATCTGCATGTTGCCCCAGAGTGGGAGAGTCTGCTTACCTGGGGCCACCTGGAACCCTTTTACCATTTTTTCTTCCTGGATATTATAAACACCAAGGACAATGCCTGCCACATAGTGAATAATTTTAAGTGAATAAACACATGAGTGAATATGAATATGCACATTTGAAAAAGCATTTCTCTCCAATACTGGCTGGTTTCATCTTCGGAAACACTTATTCCTGTCACTACCCCTCCTCACCTGAGAACCGAACTCTGGGAGAAACAGGCTGGAAACACCCAACGCCTGCTAGAGTCCATAGGGAGGGTGGGATATATGTGCTTTGATCCTCTCTGTGTTTCAAGGGGGAGTCAAGGCTACAGGCCTTGTGACTTCAGGCAAAGGATGCCCAGGCTTGTGTGCCCTGGCTCCTGGCCTGTGTCCTGTGAGCCACTGCAGCAAGCTGGACAATGTGATTGACAGCTTTTCCTGGGCCCTGCGTCTCTACAGGCGGCACCCCTCCTCGTCCATGTCAGTTCCTTCGCAGCCACCAGCCATAAGAAGAAGCTCTATGTGATTGGGGGAGGGCCCAATGGAAAACTGGCCACGGACAAGACTCAGTGTTACGACCCTTCAACCAACAAGTGGAGTTTAAAGTCGCCCATGCCAGTGGAGGCTAAATGCATCAATGCAGTGAGTTTCCGGGACCGCATCTATGTCGTTGGTAAGTGAGCAAATGGCTTCTTATGTACCCAAGGTGCCCCACCCAGGAAGCCATGCAGGTAGATCAGACGAAGCCCTCCTGGGAACTCACAAAGTCCTGATTGAAAAGGAGGAGAAGATGGGATTGGACCAGGCTTTGGTGGGATTTCCCTTGCAGTTCTCGAGGCAGAAAACGGCCCACATTTAGGAGACATACAAAGCAAATCATCCCTGGGACTCAGGGAGGAGTTAGAAGTGGCTGCAGGAACATGTGCAGATACTGAAACATGCACAGTATGATAAGTGCCCAATAAATAGTAGCTCTCCTTATTTCTTCTTTCGTGTTCATGGGAATTTTACTCTCCCTACTTGCTTTGGGGGCTCCGAAACGTTGCAGTTTGCCCGAATGAAAGCCTGGCCAGCCAGACCACAGTTGGCTTGTAATGTTAAGGATGATGGATCTCAGTCTTGACTACTCATTAGAATCACCTTGGAGCTTATTACAAAAGTATGGGCAGCTGGGCCTCACTTCGGACCAATGAAATCAGAATGGGAAAGAGGATGTTGGCCAACAGTTGCAAGTGTTTTTAATGTACAGGTGACTTTAATGTGCAGCAAGGATTGAGAACTACCAATAAAGGAGATGCCAAAAATAGATAACTTAAGCAAATAAGAGACAATCAGACAAGTAAAATATGGAAAGAGATGAAGGAAAAACCCCTCTCTTCCTTGGTTGAGGTTTCATGTGTGTTTATGGTCAGGCTCATGACTCTGCTTAAAGGTCTAATCTGGAGACGAGGACCTTGAATGGTGTCCCAGGCCATGCTCGGTTTAAAGAGGGGCTACCACCTGTGGTTACTGTCACGGATTGACGGCTTCTAGGCACCAGGCCTTCTGCCAGTTACTTCGTGCTCCTGGTCCTTCTGACGTCTTATCATCACGTGCTTGTGGTTACAGATCAAAAAGGGGCAGAGCTGGGATTATGAGCAGAGTCTGCCTGATGCACCCCGTGGTATTTCTTCCAGGGAGCAGTCTTGGGGTGCATTTTGGCCGCGAGGTGAAGCCAGGTGCCCCTGGGAACCTGATTAGCACTGGCTGCAGCCTTTAAAGGACGGTGGGAAGTGTGTGTCTCCAGCACTTAGGAAGTCTTTAGAAAGCCATAAATCTACTTTCTCTAGGCGAGATGGTAGACTTACCGAATCAGAAGGATGGTTTGTGGTGAAAGGAGAAAACCAGAACAGAGGGTGCGAGGCCCACCGTGTTTCCCTTGGTCTGCAGGTGGGGCCATGAGAGCGCTGTACGCCTACAGCCCCCTGGAGGACACCTGGAGCCTGGTCACCCAGCTCAGCCACGAGAGGGCCAGCTGCGGGATCGCGCCCTGCAACAACCGGCTCTACATCACGGGCGGGCGCGACGAGAAGAACGAGGTCATCGCCACGGTGCTGTGCTGGGACCCGGAGGCCCAGAAACTGACGGAGGAGTGCGTGCTGCCCCGGGGGGTGTCGCACCACGGCAGCGTGACCATCAGGAAGTCCTACACCCACATACGGAGGATCGTGCCCGGCGCCGTGTCGGTCTGACTGCGGGAGGCGGAG